TTTTTTTTTTTTTTTTAAATAGGAGATACACAGGGCACATGGGTGGCTCAGTTAAGCATACAACTCTTGATCTCAGCTCAGGTCTTGACCTCAGGGTACTGAGTTCAGGTCCCACAGTGGGCGCCATGCCAAAACAAAAACAAAAAAAACAAGAAAAGAAAGAAAAAACAAAAACACCACACACACAGGAAATACAGACATTGTAATTATCAAAATCACACTTTAAAAAAATTATGAATTTGTTGATCAAAATAGGGGAAAACTGTACTATTTCACCACAGAGCTGGAATTCATTTAAAAACAAAAAACAAAAATAGGGGTGCCTGGGGGGCTCAGTAGGTTAAGTGTCTAACTCGGTTTCAGCTTAGGTCATGATCTCAGTCTGTGGGTTTGAGGCCCAGAGCCTGCTTGGGATTTTCTCTCTCTCTCCCTCTGTCTCTGACCCTCCCCTGCCCATGCTCTCTCTCTCTCTCTCTCAAAATAAATTAACAAACTTCAAAAACAATGTTTTAAAAAATACCAAAGGAAAATCCTAGAATTGACTTTTTAAAAAATAGCAAAATAAAGGTAACAAACTTAAGGAGAAGTCAGCAGAAAATATACAGATTAAAATATAATGAGGAAAAATGGACTTCTAGAGGCACCTAACTGGCTGTTTGTAGAGCATGCAACTCTTCATCTCTGGGCCATAAGTTCAATCCCTATCATGGGCGCAGAGCTTACTTTAAAAAAAAAAAAAAAGAAGAAGAGAAGAAAAAAAACTAGATTTCTAGTTTCAAGGTGTTCACTGACAGATGTGCACCAAAAAACTGCTAAAGGCAATTCTTTGGCTGAAAACAAATGGATCCAGATGGAAGCCCAATACCACCGAAAGGAAGAACACTGGAAAGATAAATGTAAAGCACTACTGCTGCTGGCTTTTCAGGGAAAGATGGCAGAGTAGGAGAATCCTAAATCATCTTCCCACACATACAACGAGATAACACCCACATTTGTGTAAATAATCCAGAAAACGGCCCCAAGAATGGCAGAAGAGACTCTTCACAGCTAAATGTAGACAAGAGGCAATACCGAAGAGGGCAGGCTGGGCAGAGGCGCGGTCAAGAGCAAAAGAGACCTGCAGGACTGTCCTAAGGAGGGAAGGATGACATAAGCACAGAGAAGGAAGAGGAGCAAACCCCCACACCAGGTACCCCAGGCATGAAGGACACACACAGGTACACAAAGGGAGGACCAATCCCTGTAACATGTGGCTTAAAAACCAAAGAGGCCGCATAATCAGTGAGGCTTACCCCTGGAACATTAAAAATCACTGGGCAAGCTCTGGGAAAGCTGGGAAGGTAGGAGTCCCTGCCCTTGAAGAGACAGCACAACAAACAGCAAGCAAAGAGGCAGCAGTCTGAAAAACATGGGAAAGAGATTTGTTTACTACTCTCAAAGCCTGTGCTGGAGTGGCAGGGAGCTTTGGGAGACCTCCAAAGACAAAGGAGCTATCAGGCACCATTTCCCTCCCCTACAGCCTAGAAATGCAGACAAATGATGGAACCAGTCAGCACCAATGCTCTTCACCTAACCTGCTAACAGTGTGCCCCACTCCGGTATTCTCCTGAGGATCTGCCCCGTACAATACCTCGTTGGCTAGAGCCATACAAAGCAGTGCCACAAGCCGGGTAGTGTGCACACAGCCCCAAAATGGGCCAGAATACTCCAAAGGGACTCCCACCATTGAAAGAGAGAGGATGCAGAAACATCTATCACGCAAACGGATGTCAAAAGAAAGCCAAAGTAGCCAAGGTTGTATCAGACATAATAAACTTTAAAACAAAAAGATGAACCAAGAGAAAAGAAGGACACCATACAATAATAATGGGAAAGGGGCACCTGGGTGGCTCAGGTCATGATGTCATGGTTCATGGACTCAAGCCCCACATCAGGCTCTGTGCTCATAGCTCAGAGCCTGGAGTCTGCCTTCCGATTCTGTATCTCCCTCTCTCTCTGCCCCTCTGTCATTTGCACTCTGTCTCTCTGTCTCTCTCTCTCTCTCTCTCTAAAATAAACATTAAAAAGTTTTTTAAAAAATGGGAAAAATCAAACAAGAAGATATAATAATAGTAAATATTTATACACACAACATACAGGTACCCAAATACATAAAACAGTTAATAACAAACATAAAAGAACTAATCCATAATAACACA